ACTGTAATACTGATCTACAGAGAAATGTACACTGTAATACACTACAGAGAATGTACTGATCTACAGAGAACTGTACACTGTAATACTGATATGCAGAGACTGTACACTGTAATACTGATCTACAGAGACTGTACATTGTAATACTGATCTACAGAGACTGTACACTGTAATACTGATCTACAGAGACTGTACACTGTAATACTGATCTACAGAGAACTGTACACTGTTATACTGATCTACAGAGAACTGTACACTGTAATACTGATCTACAGAGAAATGTACACAGTAATACTGATCTTCAGAGATTGTACACTGTAATACTGATCTCCAGAGAAATGTACACTGTAATACTGATCTACAGAGAACTACTGACCTACAGAGAGCTGTGCACAGTATTACTGATCTACAGAGAATGTACACTGTAGTACTGATCTACAGAGAACTGTACACTTTAATACTGATCTACAGAGAGCTGTACACTGTAATACTGATCTACAGAGACTGTACACTGTAATACTGATCTACAGAGAACTGTACACTGTAATACTGATCTACAGAGACCTGTACACTGTAATACTGATCTACAGAGAACTGTACACTGTAATACTGATCTATAGAGACTGTACACTGTAATAGTGATCTACAGAGAACTGTACACTGTAATACTGGTTTTGATACTATAAAGTGTTGAACACTGTCCTATTTACGAACATAGATTTGTACACTGCCATACTGAAATACAGTGTTGTTCATTGCCGTACTTCCCAAGGGAGAACTGCATGGTATCCTGCGGACCTACTTGACGTTATTCACTGTCCTACCGTCCTACAGATCTGTACTGTGTCCTACTGATCGACAGAGATTTGTAAACGATCCTATCGACCCGTAGTTTGTTTTTCAATCTCATTTACCAATATAATTACATTATGTCCTTCTGACTCTCAGAACATTGCATTGCTGTCCTTTAGACCATGATAAGACTAGTCAACTTCTATAAAGTGTAAGGACAGGAATGTGCATTTAACCGATATATTGACATAACGATGAATCATACCGGATATGCATTAGTACAGACCGGAAGTTGGGCATAATCGATTTGCACACGACAGGTCAAGGTTTTTAATTCTAAAACCGGAAGATAAGAATCATATCTAGGTGAATATGAAGTGAAATTGTTTTTATCGCACCATCTCCTACTGGTGTATTTGATAGCGACCTGTTGTCACGCTCTCATATACGTGTAGAGTAATGGTGATTTAGAGAGTAATGTAGTATTACGTGCACGAGGCTCGCTCTGATTAATATCTTCAGCTGATTGGACATAACACTTCATTGACTCACAATTTATCATTATTATCAATACATTAACACTCTCATAGAAATGCTAATTAGGCCTACGGCCAACATTTCTTGTAATTTGTTCAAATTGACAGGCTTTTGATATAATCTGATATATTATAACCGCGTCAACAGAGAGTATTGGTATAGCGTCCCATGTGATTGATGGCGATGTCCACAGAGCCAGTCTTCGGGGAAATCAGGGCCATCTATGTACTCATCACGTGGTTTACATACCTACCGGTCCGTTCGTCCGCGACACGCCCTGGAATAACTCAGTATAAGGGGGTTAATTGAAACAAATAGGTGGTACTAAAATATGTTCAAAACATCACATGTGCACGTGAGTTTGTCGACTCGTGATCCAACGTTGATATGATCCGTAGAGTACATGATATATTACACGGCATGTCTTACATGGAAATCTTAGATCTGCCGAGAACCAGACAAACCAAATTAATGCCACTTTTATTTTCGGATAAATAATCGCTAGCCGGTGGTGGTAGGTGAAAATAGATAGGATGCGTGCGGAGTTTGTTGTATGCCATTTTCCTCGTTTATGTAATTAATGTTTTCTGTCAAAACAAATCAGCGGAGAAATCAGTTCCATAGCATTTCTGAGCGGTCACATATTTCAAAATCATACTTTCGTAGAGAGACAGGTCAAAAATCTGTATCTTTTCAATTGATCCTCGTTTATCCGAAATTTCGCACAGTATACAAAACATTTAATCCTAATCGTAACCTCGTCACAGAAAGGTGATTTACTAGTTCGGATTCTCAACTTAAATTAAACCGAAACTTTCGGATTATCGAGACACCAGCATTCTTCTAAAATACATTATTGGGTCCTAGGTCACGAACAGGTTAACATCTGAAGATCTATATTTTTCACGCCGATGAGAGATCCTAAATGGGTACAAGATGGTTAACCAAATGAAATTTTAAAAAGTGTATCATACGGGAAGTGACCAACCTCTCTACAACTGCCTGCACGTACGTATCTCTAGTAAAACAATGACGTTGACAAATTCTAGGCAATATCGGTTCTCTCCTTGGAAAAAGTAAAACTGAAAGAAATAAGTGTACAGCGGAATGAAGCGTAATCTTTTGATGTGTTGACATCCGGTAAGTAAATATTGTGATACATATTTTACCACATGTCTGAATCCGGATTAATGAAATCCCACTGTATTCAAGTGTACTATTGGTATTCAGTTCTCGACAACTGTGTACTGAACAAAGCTCCTAAATAACAGGCTTTGATTAGACTTTTGGGAAACACAAGTTGTAAGTATCTCAAATTTTGAAATAATTCTATCACTAATGAATTAAGTATTTCCCACTCTTCTACTTCATCCTCTTCATGACCACAAACTTCACGTGTAGCCTGTCATGGTTGTTTTTTATGTCAAGTTCGGTGTAAGATTTAAAAGACAACATTTTCGATAAAAGGCACCAAAGGGACAGAAAAAAGTCGTGTTTGGTTGTTGATAGAAGTATTTCTATTTTTTATTGATTTTTCTGAGACATATTTACTATACGACGCTCTGTGGAGGGGTAGCGCTTTTCAATACAGCATTCTCCTTTCATTTACAAGATGAGAGCTGAAAAAAACGCCATTGTAAATATATGACGATCGTATATGGGGCTAGGAACAGATATCGTAAACAAAACAAAAGTACACAAAGGCCTTTTTACTCTGTGATGTGAAAATCGCTCATAACACCTGCGTTCTGATGAAGGATGGGTGCACTTTTATGACCAGTGGGAGTGAGTGATGGTGAGGGGGAGGAGGAGTTGGGAGGGACCATTGGTCATATCATAAATACCATCCTATATGACACAGAAACAGAATTAAGACAAATTGTGTAAGTTGAGGTCGACACCTCGTTTTAATAAGAAGGCTTACAGCAAATTTATGTCTAACAACCATTTTTTTATACAAATTCATTTAGTAAATGTATCCGATACATAGAGAAAACGAGAAAATTTATTGCATCAGGCATTTTGTTTCTAACTTGAAAGGAAGTAATAAATTACATTAAAATTTCACATGGTCTGTGATATGATACAAGTGTTGGTGAGGGGAGGTTTTATGCACTCCCGGTTAGTGTTTCACACAACCTGCGGCTCAAATTGACGGCTGTTACACTCGCCTCTTATATAAGCTCCTGTTTCCCATGTGTTTTACTGTCATGTCATATCAACATTAATATTTCCAAAATAGCGAAGTAGATGGCGCTATTTTTTTATTTCCGTTTCCTGTGTAAATTGGTAAAATAGATGTACGTGTACTAAACTCTTCCGTTTATGGTTGACCTAATACCAAGGGGAACGTACCACCTGGTATTAAAAAAGCGCTTTTTGACACGCATCAGTCCTAATGGAAAGTTAGTGCTGAAAATTAATCTTATTTTTCAGATATTTCAAATACGAAAGGGGCGTCTTTTCATAAAATCATTTTCAGAGAGAAAGTGTTTCAGCATGTAACGCTTTTCGGAATGTACTAATTCAATTACGAGCCGGAAAAGACGAAGAGTATTATGTTTTCAGAAGTTTACAAAACTATTGTTAGTGTGTACATGACTTACAGCATAAACATTTACATCCTCGGGAAGTCGTTATGTTCTTTAAAATTGCATCTCAATTTTGTTCTTATTGAACCTCCGGTGATGAAATAACTTTCAACTGTTCTGCATGAAAAACTGACGAAATATGAACATTTTGAAACTACATATTGACTAGAATCATCCAATTAGCTCGACGCATAATTCTGCTTTTCTATGTACAAATTCTATCTATAATCACGTGCGTTATTATTCTCGTTATTCCTTGTTCATTTAATTCTGTTTATAACGGAGGGGGGATGTTATTGATCAAAAGCGAAATTTCCATGAAAAAAAACACCTTCAGAAATATGAAATAAAGTATCATAGACGAATTCACCCAACAAACAAACGTGTCTTCACATGCTTGTGTTTAATGCCAATTTTTTTTATCAAGAATTGCCTCCATGAACTATATATACAATATATTGTGTTTAGTCTCCACTTTCTTAATTTAACATATACCAGATGTTACCAGACTACAAAACTCGCCCCAGGCTTGCAGTTCAACAGAAAGAAAATATAAATGCGATTAAAAATTGACATTTCCTGTAACTGTCTCCAATATAAGGATGGTGAGAAACTGTGATTAATGAAAATTTAATACAATCAATGAGATATTCCGTAGCATGCACCGTACCCAGTCAATTAATGTATACACTTACTGGATATGATTGTCATCACGTTTACATTGTTTTATTACAAGTGTTATGCTGGTATCAGTCATGGCATTTATCATCGATGTTAATGACAGCTATGTAGCCAAATATGGAGGAAAGACGTGAACCTGCCTAAAATCCAATGACATTCATTACCTTTATAAATGCCATACAATTATTATTCGATGACAACACGTGTGGTAGTACTACAAAATATTGAGCGTTTGACTTAAATTAGGTTTTGATTTAATCAATTCTTTGCTTTCAACATTATGATCAAATTGATATCCTTATTTCAGGTGAACAATAACGGGTTTGTGTATTCATATTGATAAACCGCGAAATTTCATTTGTAAATGAACAACATCAAAAATGCCATTTCAAAACGACTCAGACGGTAACCAACACAACGATCATAGAATCACGGACAGTCACCAACACAGAGATCATAGAAACATGGACAGTCACCAACACAGAGATCATAGAATCACGGAAAGTCACCAACACAGAGATCATAGAATCACGGACAGTCACCAACACACAGATCATAGAATCACGGACAGTCACCAACAAACAGATCATAAAATCACGGACAGTCACCAACAAACAGATCATAGAATCACGGACAGTCACCAACAAACAGATCATAGAATCACGGACAGTCACCAACAAACAGATCATAAAATCGCGGACAGTCACCAACAAACAGATCATAGAATCACGGACAGTCACCAACAAACAGATCATAAAATCGCGGACAGTCACCAACAAACAGATCATAGAATCATGGACAGTCACCAACACAGAGATCATAGAATCACGGACAGTCACCAACAAACAGATCATAAAATCACGGACAGTTACCAACAAACAGATCATAGAATCACGGACAGTCACCAACACAGAGATCATAGAATCACGGACGGTCACCAACACAGAGATCATAGAATCACGGACAGTCACCAACAAACAGATCATAGCATCACGGACAGTCACCAACACACAGATCATAGAATCACGGACAGTCATCAACACAGAGATCATAGAATCACGGACAGTCACCAACAGAGATATCATAGAATCACGGACAGTCACCAACAGAGATATCATAGAATCACGGACAGTCACCAACACAGAGATCATAGAATCACGGACAGTCACCAACACACAGATCATAGAATCACGGACAGTCACCAACAAACAGATCATAAAATCACGGACAGTTACCAACAAACAGATCATAGAATCACGGACAGTCACCAACACAGAGATCATAGAATCACGGACAGTCACCAACAAACAGATCATAGAATCACGGACAGTCACCAACACACAGATCATAGAATCACGGACAGTCACCAACACAGAGATCATAGAATCACGGACAGTCACCAACAGAGATATCATAGAATCACGGACAGTCACCAACAGAGATATCATAGAATCACGGACAGTCACCAACACAGAGATCATAGAATCACGGACAGTCACCAACACACAGATCATAGAATCACGGACAGTCACCAACACAGAGATCATAGAATCACGGACAGTCACCAACATAGAGATCATAGAATCACGGACGGTCACCAACACACAGATCATAGAATCACGGACAGTCACCAACACACAGATCATAGAATCACGGACAGTCACAACACAGAGATCATAGAATCACGGACAGTCACCAACATAGAGATCATAGAATCACGGACGGTCACCAACACAGAGATCATAGAATCACGGACAGTCATCAACAAACAGATCATAGAATCACGGACAGTCACCAACACAGAGATAATAGAATATATCCCAACTCAGTCAATATTTACAACTTTTGCTGCTCTAATAAAGTGGAAAATTAGAACAAGTGTTTTTTAATTATATTATCATATCTGACACGTGTGTTTAAAAACGATGTCATCACCTTCATCAATATATTCAGAATCTTATATGTCAAAGTTGATAGTCCAATAAAAATAGTGTGTACGGTGAGCTAACAAAATAGATCTGATGATGTACAAATTAAGTCACCAATCTGATGTCTTATTTTCCTGAACAATAACATGTTTGAAACGAAGATAAAGCCAGTTCTATATGCAGATTTCCCGACATTTTCATATATACATAGGTCGTCATATATAGGTCATGTGATACCCTACCCTGTAGTCTAGATATCTCTATATATTTCGTGGTGTTGTTAATTCATCTTGTTCTCAATATATTACCAGCACGTGTTTTACATATATAGTCGTCTAGTTATACATCATCTCTCACCATAGGTGATCTTAACAGCCAATCAAAACGTGTTGTAGCTATATCACATGATGGAAATATCTCGCATCAAATGTTCCCATCAAAAAGTGTTTTAGCTATTCCATCAAAATGTATTCTAACTATCCCACCAAAACGTGTTCTAGCTATCCCACCAAAACGTATTCTAGCTATCCCATCAAAACGTATCTGATTATCCCACCAAAACGTATCTGATTATCCCACCAAAACGTATCTGATTATCCCACCAAAACGTATTCTAGCTATCCCATCAAAACGTATTCTGGCTATCCCACCAAAACGTGTTCTGATTATCTCACCAAAACGTATTCTGATTATCCCACCAAAATGTATTCTAGCTATCCCACCAAAACGCTATCCCACCAAAACGTATTCTAGCTATCCCACCAAAACGTATTCTGGCTATCCCACCAAAACGTGATCTAGCTATCCCACCAAAACGTATTCTGGCTATCCCACCAAAACGTGATCTAGCTATCCCACCAAAACGTATTCTAGCTATCCCACCAAAACGTATTCTAGCTATCCCACCAAAACGTGTTCTAGCTATCCCACCAAAACGCTATTCCAAGAAAAACGTATTCTAGCTATTCCACAAAAACGTGTTCTAGCTATCCCACCAAAACGCTATCCCACCTAAACGTGTTCTAGCTATCCCACCGATTTCCCCCAAAACGTGTTTTAGCTATCCCACCAAATTCCCCTAAAACGTGTTCTAGCTATCCCACCAAATTCCCCCAAAACGTGTTCTAGCTATCCCACCAAAACGTGTTCTAGCCATCCCACGAAGACTTATTCTATCTATCCCACAAAGACGTGTTCTAGCTGTCCCACAAAGACGTATTTTAGCTATCTCACCAAAACGTGTTCTAACCATCCCACAAAGATGTCTTTTAGCTTTATCACCAGAACAAACATTAAATTCTGCATTTAGATATGTTTAAGCCCACCGAAACGTTTTTCTGCTGTCACCAAAACCCGTCAGCTTTTCCTTAAAGACGTCTTTTAGCCATTCCACCAAAACGAATATCAACTATCGGATCATCACATGCTGTAGATATACCAACTTTTCGTGAACTAAGTATTTGACAAGTCCATGATGTTGAGACATCACCATCGTCACCATCGTCGTCATTATCATCATCATCTAATGAAATGTATCTCATCATGTATATAAATATCCCATTATCACGTGTTACGTATGTCCCACTGATTTTGTCATCACGTGGAATCCTACCACCGGGTAACACCTATCGCTCATTATCATATGATTAATAGAATCTTTCTCCCCTTTGGGGTGAGACAGGGGATCCCCCTGTCTCATCCCAAAGGGGGTGAATGATTATTTTTCTCATAGCCTGTTCCCCCGCTGATTGTAAAATACGAAATAGAATGTTTGTAAACAAAAACTCGTAGACAGCGTATCATAAAATCACGGACAGTTACCAACAAACAGATCATAGAATCACGATCATAGAATCACGGACAGTCACCAAAACAGAGATCATAGAATCGCGGACAGTCACCAACAAACAGATCATAGAATCGCGGACAGTCACCAACAAACAGATCATAGAATCGCGGACAGTCACCAACAAACAGATCATAAAATCACGGACAGTTACCAACAAACAGATCATAGAATCACGGACAGTCACCAACACAGAGATCATAGAATCACGGACAGTCACCAACAAACAGATCATAGAATCACGGACAGTCACCAACACAGAGATCATAGAATCACGGACAGTCACCAACACAGAGATCATAGAATCACGGACAGTCACCAACAGAGATATCATAGAATCACGGACAGTCACCAACAGAGATATCATAGAATCACGGACAGTCACCAACACAGAGATCATAGAATCACGGACAGTCACCAACACACAGATCATAGAATCACGGACAGTCACCAACAAACAGATCATAGAATCACGGACAGTCACCAACAAACAGATCATAGAATCACGGACAGTCACCAACAAACAGATCATAGAATCACGGACAGTCACCAACAAACAGATCATAGAATCACGGACAGTCACCAACACACAGATCATAGAATCACGGACAGTCACCAACACAGAGATCATAGAATCACGGACAGTCACCAACAGAGATATCATAGAATCACGGACAGTCACCAACAGAGATATCATAGAATCACGGACAGTCACCAACACAGAGATCATAGAATCACGGACAGTCACCAACACACAGATCATAGAATCACGGACAGTCACCAACACGTGTTCTAGCCATCCCACGAAGACTAATTCTATCTATCCCACAAAGACGTGTTCTAGCTGTCCCACAAAGACGTATTTTAGCTATCTCACCAAAACGTGTTCTAACCATCCCACAAAGATGTCTTTTAGCTTTATCACCAGAACAAACATTAAATTCTGCATTTAGATATGTTTAAGCCCACCGAAACGTTTTTCTGCTGTCACCAAAACCCGTCAGCTTTTCCTTAAAGACGTCTTTTAGCCATTCCACCAAAACGAATATCAACTATCGGATCATCACATGCTGTAGATATACCAACTTTTCGTGAACTAAGTATTTGACAAGTCCATGATGTTGAGACATCACCATCGTCACCATCGTCGTCATTATCATCATCATCTAATGAAATGTATCTCATCATGTATATAAATATCCCATTATCACGTGTTACGTATGTCCCACTGATTTTGTCATCACGTGGAATCCTACCACCGGGTAACACCTATCGCTCATTATCATATGATTAATAGAATCTTTCTCCCCCTTTGGGGTGAGACAGGGGATCCCCCTGTCTCATCCCAAAGGGGGTGAATGATTATTTTTCTCATAGCCTGTTCCCCCGCTGATTGTAAAATACGAAATAGAATGTTTGTAAACAAAAACTCGTAGACAGCGTATGAATATAGTGACGAGGCCGTCTCAACCGCATCAGGGATAAAAAACCCATAATATTAATGATAAAAAACAATTTTAATGTGAAAGTATGGATGAGATGACTTCAATATATACACAAAATTAACACATATTATTAAATCGTTATTTTACAATGACGTCATTTACATGTCAAGTTCTACTTCCGGGTCAAGATAGTGACGTCACATTATTGTTGAGAACGCGCAAGGAGCGCGTGTAGCTTGTCTCAACCCTAGGGTTAGATAGAAAAATCTCATACCGGTAAAAACTGTGGATATCCCTGTCCGGGGTAAGAGAAATAGATATCCCCATCACATGATGTAAATATCCCACTATCACGTGATGTAGATATCCAACTATCACGTGATGTAGATATCCAACTACCATGTGATGTAGGTATCTTACTATCACGTGATGTAGATAATCCACAATCACTTGATGTAGATATCCCACTATCACATGATGTAGATATCCCACTATCACGTGATGTAGATATCCCCATCACATGATGTAGATATCCCACAATCACGTGATGTAGATATCCAACTACCATGTGATGTAGGTATCTTACTATCACGTGATGTAGATATCCCACAATCACGTGATGTAGATATCCCACTATCACGTAATGCAGATATTACACCATCTCTGATGTATTAATTCAATGATAGATCGTATACATATGCGACTTTTATATATCTTGTCTATAAATGTTAGCTAGCCTCGCTTTACCAGTGTGGATGTCACCCATCGACTATCAACTATCGACCATCTCCTATCGGCCATCGACCATCTCGCTGTACAGTTATTTGTGGATTGTAGAACAGTTAATTGAAAACACTTTACATTACCGTCTTCGTTTTTTATCCGCACGAATGTAATGAAATTCTTAAGTCTGAAATATTTCGAAAACAGTACAATAAATTCATAAATAACCACAGTCTTTGGCCTTATGTATTCGAAAGTTGATAATAATTATTATGTCCTAGACAACAAAATGTTGATAGAATTAAGTGTTCTTTCACCACATTGATACTCGTAGGAGGAGTTGGTCATTCAAAATATTCGATACGATGCTAGATACAGTAAGAGTGAAGCAAACCCTCAACAACTTATCTGAGAACAGATGTGTAAGTTTAAATGCGTGTATTCTTGCGAGTTGTTTCCCCTCTTTTGATTTTGAAATCAGCCACCTGCTTGTTTTAAACACTCTTATATTAAAACCTGTAATAAAAGTTGATATCATTTTTGTAAGCTGTTTTCCTTCTAGTTAGACCCTGTCACAGAACAAACATATCTTGTATCATATTACACAGAGAAGAAAGAAAATTATGCGCATTTTAGTTATTCAAATAAAATTACAAATATATCTAAATTCAGTTTAAAATTCCAACTTAACTCCTCTTTTATATTTGGGCGTATGACTTTACACCATGATAAACTTTTTAATTATGGAATGACGTATCTTATTCTAATTCTTCTTCTTTAATATCCAAACAAGTCTCAAGTTAAAACATATCAATGTATACCGTCCTTAGAGTTGCACTGATCATCGCCAACGGCTTTACAATATCGTTATTTACATTGTGTATATATATTTCTTTTATGAGTATCAACTTTCAAATTTCAAAGCGATGGGTATTGTTACGGCTGAAACAAGTTCGTGACAATAGAAACGGGCACAGAACTTAAAATTATCAAGATATCGGGAGATGATTTAAGTCATATCACCGTGTTTGATTTCATTTAAATTTGACATTTCTTCACAAATATTTCTCGTAACATCAGGATAATGTTGCTAAATAACGATGACTATTTCTCCTCGAGTGCGCGTCGTGTTCCATTCTTTTCCTACAGACAATACCAGTGCCATGTGCCGACACAATTTAACGAAAAAAACGCTCAACAAATTTGCATGTATCATATTAAAGTATTTACATAAATTTTCTATTATATCATGGGGCGATTACAATTTTGCTCGGCACATAATGGTGGGTAACTCAATACAATATTTATGATGTTCCAACTATAAAGCCAGTTTCATCGATCGTCGCCCATTACGCCATTTTCCATGGCGATGAAAAATTAAAAATAAAACAGATAATCTAATGGAAATTCCATATGAACAAATGTCAAGCCTGAATTTAAAAAAGAATCTCGATTTTTTAATCTAGAAAATTGTTTTTTCGTTTCAACACTCGTTCTAAGATTGAATAAAAACCTCATCCAATGTATTGAATTCGCCCGAGAAACGTAGAAGATAGGTATAAATATAGAGACGGATGATCGACGTCGGTGTTCCCTACCATTACGTAACGGGGCAGAATTTAATTTCATATTTCTATTGGATTTTAATGACATTTTTGTTTGGGCTTATATGAGAATATTGTACAATCGAAATTCTCCTAACACACTCACACAGATGTCTATAAACTCAATTACGGCACCAGAAATGTACTTGTGTAATGTTTTATAAACAGTTTCCATACATTTCACGTGCGTTTTATTACATTTATCTATTCGTAATTGCGTCACATTTTTGTTCACGAGCCGGCACGGTACATATCCCAGGGATCTTATTGTCACGAGCTACAAAATGATTGCGGATCTTGTATTATGCCTGGCGTACAATTCCCTGCAGAATTCTGTTTTTATTTCCGCAACTAATTGATCGCATAAATGGTTACGATTCGAGAGGATTAGTAAGGATGGGTGGCCGAGGAAAAGGATTTTAACAGGGATAACTAGAGAAGGATGACACAAGAAAGAATGGCCGAAGAAAGAACATGGCAGACGGAACGACGGGGCGAGGACAAGTGATAGAGGAATCAACGGATGAGGAAAAGTGAAAGAGGAATTAACGGGGGGCAGGAGAAGGGATAAAGGGATCAACAAGTGAGAACACGTGATGGAGGGAATAACGGTCGAGGACACGTGATGGAGGGACCAACGGGTGAGGACACGTGATAGATGGATCAACGAACGAGGACACTTTATGTAGGGATCAACGAGTGAGGACACGTGATAGAGGGATGAACGGTTGAGGACACGTGATAGAGGGACCAACGGGTGAGGACACGTGATAGAGGGAGCAACAGGTGAGGACAGGTGATAGAGGGATGAACGGGTGAGAACACGTGATAGAGGGATGAACGAGTGAGGACAGGTGATAGAGGGACGAACGGGTGAGGACACGTGATAGAGGGACCATCGGGTGAGGACACGTGATAGAGGGAGCAACAGGTGAGGACAAGTGATAGAGGTATGAACGGGTGAGGACACGTGATAGAGGGATGAACGGGTGAGGACACGTGATAGAGGGATGAACGGGTGAGGACACGTGATAGAGGGGTCAACGGGGCAGGACAAGTTATAGAGGGGTCAACGGGGCAGGACAAGTAATAGAGGGGTCAACGGGGGCAGGACACGTGATAGAGGGGTCAACGGGGGCAGGACACGTGATAGAGGGGTCAACGGGGGCAGGACAAATTATAGAGCGGTCAACGGGGGCAGGACAAGTTATAGAGGGGTCAACGGGGGCAGGACAAGGGATATAAGGATCAACGTTGATAGAGGTATCAGCGGATGAAGAATCAGCAATGAGGGCAAATATTAGATTAGATAACCAAGGGTAACAAAAGCTAGACAGATGACCAAAACGATCATATGTAGACGGATCACCATGAATGACAAGACAACTGGAACACGAAATTACCAAAAAAAAGAGCAAATGGAAGATGGAATAACCAACGAATACATACGGTATATGGATCAAACAACAAGAAGACAAATAGACGGAATTACCATGGAAACGAATCAAAGATGAATCACCAAGGAGGAAAGTAGAAGAAATGTTAGCAGAGTAAACTATAGAGGTGATATGATGGCAGAACCTAGGTAATATAGAATGCAGAAGTGATATGAGGGGTGAGGTCTGTGGAGTAGGGGCTGAAGTGTTTGGTGATATGAGGGGTGAGGTCTGTGGAGTAGGGACTGAAGTATTTGGTGATATGAGAGGTGAGGTCTGTGGAGTAGGGACTGAAGTATTGGGTGATATGAGGGATAGGACCTGTTGAGAAGGGACTGAAGCATTTGGTGATGTGAGGGGTGGGTCTGTTAAGTTGGGACTGTAATATTGGGTGATATGTCTTTCAGTTTTTCTCTGTTCGTGTCTTGGAAATTAAAGATGAAAGCACATATATTTAAACTTGCTTTCGATTTTGCCACAAATAATAGACAAACGTATTCTTGTTAAGAAAGCAGGGTTTTAAGTTATATGTTAATATAAGTTGTACTTATTTGATAATAATAGGTCGAACAGAATAAATTAGGGAAAAAAAATTGATAATGACCAGTTTTGTACCTGATCTTAAAAAGAAAATGATGATGTCATTCTCCATACATTGTGTGTGTCCCGTACTCGGTACAGATTGGATTTGGCTGAGGATGGTGATGTGATAACAGGGAATATTAATCTCACCGATCCCCTAGACTACCCGACTTCGGCCTTTGTCAAACTCGCTACAATTTATATCAAAAGGAAAATTTGATCATCCAAGTTTGACAACTTTAATTACCCTTCTCTGGCCTTTTAGCCAGGGATTTTATTGTGTATGATTTTTCCTGTCGAAATCACTTGCCCAGAAGGCAAAGTTATGTTGCATAACTTGAGTCTATGGAAGTGTTACAAGGGAGAAGAACTTAGCATCAATACAGTGAACAAAGGGCCGGTAGGATAGAGGTGTAATTACCGGGGGGTCGGGTACAATAGATGGAATTCTCACCTGTGAACCACTACAATACCTGTCTGACCCGCCGCCCTATTCAGGATACGGCATAATAATGGGACGGAATTCTAAGGGAGATAATTCAATATTAAAACAAAGTGACACCGACAGTGAGATCGATGGTGTCACTTCGCCTATAAATACTTATAAAAATACCATTATATGACGTAGGATGTTATACATTATAGAGCTAGGACGGGTACGGTTTCTTATTAAACTGTTAGATCATTGTAACGTCCTTCTAATCTCTCACTCTTTTGTAAACAGGTATAAATGACCTAAGGCTTATATTAACTAAATATTAAATAAGCCGAGAGTGTCACGTGACCTGTTATTCAGGTAACTCTGTATTCATTCTTTATATTACTATTTTCACGGAATCTCAAATCGTAAGTTAAAGATGAAGGCAACACGTGGAGTGTTGATGCCGCGGATAATTATCTACCTTTGTTCTGTACATTTTTACATTTTTTTTTCATTCAGGAATGCCATCAAATCGTTTTCGTCATCCTTCTCATACAGCGATGTCCTTTTTCTCTGTAGATGGACTTTTCCTTGTAAACGGACTTTTCCCTGTATGCAGACTTTTCCATGTAGACGGACGTTTCCCTGTCGACGGACTTTTCCCTGTAGGCGGACGTTTCCCTGTCGACGGACGTTTCCCTGTCGACAGACTTTTCCCTGTATGCGGACGTTTCCCTGTCGACGGACGTTTCCCTGTATGCAGACTTTTCCATGTAGACGGACGTTTCCCTGTCGACGGACTTTTCCCTGTAGGCGGACGTTTCCCTGTCGACAGACTTTTCCCTGTATGCGGACGTTTCCCTGTCGACGGACGTTTCCCTGTCAACGGACTTTTCCCTGTAGACGGACGTTTCCCTGTAGACGGACTTTTCCCTGTAGGCGGACTTTTCCTGTAGACGGACTTTTCCCTGTCGACGGACGTTTCCCTGTAGGCGGACTTTTCCCTGTAGACGGACTTTTCCCTGTATGCGGACTGTAACCGAATATCAAATAGCAATACAAATTGTGTTTAAGGATATTCTCTTAAAACACTTGCCTGTCTATGCTATCTTGGGCAAAATATTTTACTGTAGATTGCTTTATGTGGCATGCGACAAGTCTCCTATATGTGATTCAATGAACAAACTTCCACCTTAACCAAGGTTGTTCACAGGGCACAAAAAATTATAAAGTGTTAATATGAAGTATTCCATTTTATATAACTTACATTAAACACTGTACTCTAATTCTATTTTCTATAAATAGAGACTAACAGACCCATTTTCTGTAGACTATTATGAAACAGTGTTATAATTATAATCACTTGTCTTATCCCAGAAAATGACAGTTCTCAATTACTGTGGTATAAAAATTAACTGTCCCTTATTATGTTAAATTCCATTAGCCCACATTACACTATCTAAACAGACTAAATTACATATAAGTATTTTGGATATGTATATTAGTACTCTGTGTACTAATGAACTCGGTATAGTTTACGTTTGTAGGGTCGTTGTTCTCCAGTGTGATGTCGTAATGGTTCTTTATGATGTTGTTATAATTCTCGTGTGGGACGTTATCATAATTCTCGTGTGGGACGTTGTTATAATTCCAATGTGGGATGTTGTTATAATTCCCATGTGGGACGTTGTTATAATTCTCGTGTGGGACGTTGTTATAGTTCTCGTGTGGGACGTTGTTATAGTTCCCATGTGGGACGTTAATATATTTCTCCTATTTGACGTTGTTAGTTCCCATGTGGGACGTTGTTATAATTCTCCTGTGGGACGTTGTTAAAGTTCTCCAGTGGGACGTTGTTGAAGTTCCCATGTGGGACGTTGTTATAGTTCTTCTGTGGGACGTTGTTAAAGTTCTCCAGTGGGACGTTGTTGAAGTTCCCATGTGGGACGTTGTTATAATTCTCCTGTGGGACGTTGTTATAGTTCTTCTGTGGGACGTTGTTATAGTTCCCATAAGGGACGTTGTTAAAGTTATCCCGTGTGACGTTGTTATAGTTCTCGTGTGGGACGTTGTTATAGTTCCCATGTGGGACGTTGTTAAAGTTCTCCAGTGGGACGTTGTTATAGTTCTCATGTGGTACGTTGTAAAAGTTCTCCTTTGGGACGTTGTTATAGTTCTCGTGTGGGACGTTGTTATAGTTCCCATGTGGGACGTTGTTAAAGTTCTCCAGTGGGACGTTGTTATAGTTCCCATGTGGGACGTTGTTAAAGTTCTCCAGTGGGACGTTGTTATAGTTCTCGTGTGGGACGTTGTTATAGTTCTCGTGTGGGACGTTGTTATAGTTCCCATGTGGGACGTTGTTAAAGTTCTCCAGTGGGACGTTGTTATAGTTCTGCTGTGGGACGTTGTTATAGTTCCCATGTGGGACGTTGTTAAAGTTCTCCAGTGGGACGTTGTTATAGTTCTCCTGTGGGACGTTGTAAAAGTTCTCCTTTGGGACGTTGTTATAGTTCTCGTGTGGGACGTTGTTATAGTTCCCATGTGGGACGTTGTTAAAGTTCTCCAGTGGGACGTTGTTATAGTTCTCGTGTGGGACGTTGTTATAGTTCTCGTGTGGGACGTTGTTATAGTTCCCATGTGGGACGTTGTTAAAGTTCTCCAGTGGGACGTTGTTATAGTTCCCATGTGGGACGTTGTTAAAGTTCTCCAGTGGGACGTTGTTATAGTTCTCGTGTGGGACGTTGTTATAGTTCTCGTGTGGGACGTTGTTATAGTTCCCATGTGGGACGTTGTTAAAGTTCTCCAGTGGGACGTTGTTATAGTTCTCCTGTGGGACGTTGTAAAAGTTCTCCTTTGGGACGTTGTTGTAGTTCCCATGTGGGACGTTGTTATAGTTCCCATGTGGTACGTTGTTAAAGTTCTCCTGTGGGACGTTGTTGTAGTTCCCATGTGGGACGTTGTTATAGTTCCCATGTGGGACGTTGTTATAGTTCCTATGTGGGACGTTGTTATAATTCCCATGTGGGACGTTGTTATAATTCCCATGTGGGACGTTGTTAAAGTTCTCCTGTGCTACGTTGCACTCCCAAGTAATACTTGTTTGTGTTATATCACAAAACATTATATTTGTCTAGCAATAAAATTGCAAAACTTGTAACAAACTTTTATGATAAACAGATATTTCTCCAATATCGATACAGCAAAAACATGTTTTCATTGACATAATTTCCTCAGTATACCTTTGGGCTTGGTGATTACAAGTCTGAAACCTGTATGTATTAAAACGATTCTTTTCCTTTAATAACCATCATTTGCATTGTCGCAAGTACTTCTGTATCTTTTCTTTCTGTGTTCAAATGTTTTCCCCTCAGGGCCTACACTTACATTTATCACTTACAAAATTTTCCCAGTGATGTTGGAAAAGATTATTATTCAAAATACTGCTGTTTAAAGCGTGTTTTAACATTTGACAATATACAATTTTAAATGTGACTGTGCGAGGCAATTGATCTTTTTTAAAGAAAGGTTAGTCCGTTCCTGGTCTTTCAACAATTTTTCTCGAGATTGCTTCTTGTCCTTAAATCCCTTTCCTAGAGTCCGTTCCTTGTCTCTCTCCTCTTTACCTTGAAACCACACCTTGTTTCTCTTCACATTACCCTGAGTTCCAATTTGTCTCTTTATCCATTTTCTTGAGTCCGTTCCATGCCTCTTTTTCTTTTACCTTGAATCCACTCTTTGTCCCTCTATCCATTATCTTGAGTCTCTTTCTGGCCTCTCTTCCCTTTACCTTGAGTTAACACTTTGTCGCTCTGACCATTAACTTGAGTCCGTTTCTTGTCGTTCTCCCCTTTATGTTGAGTTCGCTTCTTGTCCCTCTATCATATTCCTCGCAAAAGTTAAAGTTTAAAACTTGCATATAGTACAATAATTCTTTTCTTTTATCAAGCTTCGAACTAAATACGCCGCCCCTTTAATTTGAAATTTCTAGTCTATCTGCCAATTTGTTTGGGTCGGCTTTTAATCTAAAGTGTAGTGTATTTCACGGAGACCATATGTAAACTCCGGATTGAATACTTTCTACTCCCCGGATATGACGTCTTCTTATGCAGAGACTTATGTGTATTTCACCGATTTTAAACGGAAATTACCCCCGCCATTAACAAAGGGAAAAGTGTGTATGTCTGTACCATGAATGCCGCTAAACAGTTTCGTAAAGTCGGTTTAACACCATTCGGAATTATTTTGGAAAACACCTGTCCGTTCGAACATCTGTCATTCTCTAATCTGTCTGTCTGTCTGTCACAATAATAGTTTATGAGCCATAAAAACATCATATCTTGACGTTTGATACCTAACTACGCGGTTGGTAGGAGAAGTGAAAATGTGAAAACTGTGTAGACATAACGGATATGACGTCACACAGGAGAGTAGATGGTGCTGGTTGAGAACCACACACCACAAACATTCCAGGGCTCTCACCCACGTGGACGATTTGATGGAATACAGAAAGACGTATTTTTCAGTTCAAATGATTTAAGACCATATGAATCCCATGTGTATATAGAAGGCTTTTGAAGTCGTCTGTGTAAAATTATGCAACATCCTTTGGCTTATAATCTTTTTATTAAACATACGTGCAAGATTTTTAGTGAGAACACTTGGTAGATAATTGCGAGTAATAGTATACAGGTTTAAGGCCAGATGTTAAACCGTCAGGTTTAAATCATCGTGTATTTAGCGAGCCAGACAGTGCCTTCAGAACACTATAAATCATTTTACGTATGAGCTCCCTCTTCCTTCGCATGCTAATCATAATATGCTCTTCAGATTATTTCGACGGTGAGCTTTGCTATAAATCATGTTTCCAGTCATGATAAGTAGATTGTCAGTCAGGACACACACGAATTTCTGCCGTATTTTGTTTTAATGTTTCAAAGTAAGCACTGGATAAACGGATTCCAATCAAAAGAAAATTAATTCAAACAAAAAATACTGGTTTCGAAAAATACTCAATTACAGCAATACGTGAAATGTGTCAGTCTTGTGTTCTCCGGCATATCACGTGTCAATATCACGTGACAAGAGCCATATACCACGCCGTCGTGGGTTGACTGCACTACAAACAGTATGACCTGTAACAGGGACAAAGTTCACACAGGAAATACAAATTATTTGGCTTTATCAGGCTTGTGTGAACAAAGATTAATTTATTTTGAACCAGAAATGGATCTAAGACATGAATACCCGTACCGGAAGTGAATCTAAAATGTGACATGAACTAGCAATAAGAATAGTTTTCAACGTATTTCTAAACAAAATGATATATACTATAAAATATAACCTTGATTGGAGTTAGTTAATAAATAGACGGGGGAGCAGGAAAATAGCACTAGTCCTCAAGAAGTATGCGAAAATCTTTTATATTCAGTGACACGGTCGCAGCCGGAAACATAAACAACGCGTTACACAGAGGCATGGTTACGCCTAGTTACCATGTCATTAAACAGCCCCGATATTTCTACATATGTGCATATGTACTCCGCGGTAATGTTTTTGTATCATTGAAAATCTTATATGAAAGAAAAAGCACGATGAGACCACGTGATTAATTGGAGTTTGTATTTATCATCATATAGATATCAGTTGATTCATAAGATGATTTTGCATCATGTTTAATAAAGTATTTGATGTGAGTTCGCTGGCATTAGTCAAACTCGCTGGCATTAGTCAAACTCCCCTTGTTTGGTTTGTTTCGCTGGCATTAGTCAAACTCCCCTTGTTTGGTTTGTTTTGTACATCAAAGTATACTACATTTTCATCTAACACACCGATCATAGTGACTCCTCCATCAAGACCCTCGTTAAAACTCTTTGTATAACTTTGGTTTGAGAAATGTCCCCCCGTTTCTTTAGGACCGAGTTGATATTACACAGAGAGTAAAAATGTCTATAAATTCGCCGCCTAATTTATCTACTAAGATCCAATTAAAGGTAAATCATAGCTGCATTCAATACCGTCATTTATGTATTGTCACGTATCGCAACAAATTCTAACGTGTCCACACTGTCAGCTAATTTCATATTCAAATTGGATTTTATAAGTATAATTAGGTTTCAAAAATATTCCGACAAGATGAAAGAAATATGACTGAGCGGCCTGTCACGGCGGAATGTTTAAGTCCGTGTTTGGGTACGCGGAGGTATCCGGTCCTTGTGATTGACACTAAGTTGTCCTTTGGTGCCGTTTTATTGGCTTTGATTATTGGTGTCTCTTTATTACACCAGTAAAAACCATATAGAATATCCTCACTGTATTTATCATATATTTTGATAATAAAACAGTGCCATGTATATGGGTTATAATACAAAGAGATGGTTATTGTGTTTTAACGTTCCGTCCTGGGGTGTCGACGATTCTAACAACCTGGGAAAATTAAGAGACGTACAATATTATGAAAATGAATTGTTCTGGTTCGTCTGACTTGGAGATCAATTCTTGGTCATAAACGCTGATTATATTTAGAATCAGAAATTTATGCCCCGAAACTTAATCAGACATTCCCCTTTTTTAAAACAAATTTCCGTCTCCCCGTATTGCCTCCGTTGCTAAGAATTGACCTCCATCTTCAGACGCGTAACCAGTAATCATGAAGCTATTTAATTCCGCTCTACCCGAGCTTAAATTACTATGTTTAGCTTTTAGGGGTAATCTCTTCTTTGTCTGCACTGTAGACCAAAACAAAATTGTTCACAATGGAGAACAGGGATAGTCAATAGGAAACACGTGACCTTCAAACTTTATCATAGGTGTCGACCAGAGAAGTGAGACTACAAATCTCGTGCACGTATTGCAATAGGCCATCTTACTTACTTTGAATCTAGAATTAATAGAAAGATGTTCTTCATGGTCTGTTGACGACAATAGATTTTTCAAGAGGGATTCCATGCCAAAAACTGTTTTACATCATCAATGTATTACAACACGTCCTCGTAGCTCCGATATCTATTTCCGAAACCAATATTGTCCACATTTTCCTATATCACTAACAAGATCTGTCATCTAACACTACACTCGTTTTTTTTATTGTCATTTTTCCATATCCAAAATACGGGCATTAAATACCATTCTACATATAGTAATCAATATGATCAATATTCAACTTTCAGCCGCTAGCCATAAACTCCAAACCCAAAGCGCTATAACAATAGTTGTGGACATGTGTTTAAAAAAAAAGAAAATATCGAGACATCAATAGAATTTGTTTCAAACTTACACAAACCAAAATATCAAAAGGAAAGAAAGATTTACACGGAAACTCATGGAAAAGTACAGGGAGAATTATACCAGATGTTCATAAAGGATTAGCGTTTTCTGCTTCATCGACAACACCCGCCAATTAAATCTTTGTCAATCTAAGTAAGTATTTTGACGTTTACAAAATGAGAACAATTGTAAAATGTAACATGGTAGAAAGTTGTACTGATTCCAGCATAAAAATAGACAAAGAATCTATGATGTAAAATTAGATCGAGTAAACTTATCATTACATGAAGATGGATACTTACACTTATTCCAGTAAAAGTTGAGACATACAGATTTATTCTAATATAGAGTAAGACATGTTAACTTATTGTAATATAGAGTAAGACATGTCAACGTATTGTAATATAGAGTAAGACATGTTAACTTATTGTAATATAGAGTAAGACATGTCAACTTATTGTAATATAGAGTAAGACATGTCAACTTATTGTAATATAGAGTAAGACATGTCAACTTATTGTAATATAGAGTAAGACATGTCAACTTATTGTAATATAGAGTAAGACATGTCAACTTATTCTAATATAGAGTAAGACATGTCAACTTATTGTAATATAGAGTAAGACATGTCAACTTATTCTAATATAGAGTAAGACATGTCAACTTATTCTAATATAGAGTAGGACATGTCAACTTATTGTAATATAGAGTAAGACATGTCAACTTATTGTAATATAGAGTAGGACATGTCAACTTATTATAATATAGAGTAAGACATGTCAACTTATTGTAATATAGAGTAAGACATGTCAACTTATTCTAATATAGAGTAAGACATGTCAACTTATTGTAATATAG